TAAGAGGTCTGTAAGGGGCGTGCATAAGTGCACCATCGTGCCTCCCGTCCCTGTCCTATTGTCCCCATTTATTCGTACCTATTTCCTGTATTCTTACTCATATTTATACTTATACCTATTACCTTGTGATTGACAAATCAAATAAATAAAAATAAATAAATTTGAAGTTACAACGGCATTGAAATAAATGACTTGTGACCGCTCTCCACACAACCATTGCAGCATCCCCCCCCCCATGGTCACATGATCAAAATTCAGATGCTGGGCAAGTGACTCATTGATGACCGTTGCATTGCCTTTGGGTCATGCGACCACCTTTTGCAACCTCCCAACAAGGAGTCGGTGGGGATTCCCTTTGCGGCTGTGTTACGAACATAACAACTGCAATGACTAAATGAGGAGTGAGCCCCTACATCCCTTGGAAGAAGTTCCTCCTTCCAAAGGGCATTTATTTCTAAGAGGACAAGATAATTGTAGGGACTGGGAAGCCTTCTAAGGAAGCAGCTTGAGAGTCTTGATTCCATACCTAGAGCTCCAACTCTGGAAAAACCAAGTTCTGTTTGTAAATGCTAACAGAAAAGCTGATAACTCTGGGCCTTTGTTTTCTCTTAGCTGTTCCAGGGACTCCTCAGTATGTGGATGAACAGTTCCTTTCTCGCCTCTTCCTGTTCGTGGCCCTTGTCATCATGTTCTGGCTCTTGATTGCTTAACTTGGCTCCATACCTTGTGGAGCTCTGAACCGGCCACAGACTTCCGCTTGTCTTCCCTGTCTGCCTCTTGGTGTCCAATTCTTCAGCTAATGAGGGGCTCCTTAAAGCCAATGGTGTCTTCGTGTGAGGACGAGTCTCTCTTATTTTTCCAGAGCTCCGGAGTTAACATTTAAAAAAGTTTTCTGAAGCTCAGCCATAACTCACACAGCAAGGATCTGTCTGGAACTTTGACCCTAGCTTTGAGCTCCGTCTCTCAACGAGGAGTGTTTGAATCTTAGTGCCAAACATCTGGAAGAGATGCTGCCCCAAAGGGAATCGGGCGTGGTGGCTAGCGACGGAACCTCTAGTCACTGTCTTGCGTCTCAAGAGCAGTGACAGGAAGGAGATCAGTGGATTTCAGAACCCAGCTGAACATCTTGCACAAAAGCCAACAGACTCCAGGTAACACCTTCTATAGATAAGACATCTGGCTGAAGAGGATCGTGCCCCATACCCAGGTGATAAAAGATGGCCCATCTTTGTTTTTCCAGCAATCACAAAAATGAAAAGATAAAAAGACTCTTTAACCTAAAACGGTAGCATATCTAAATTTACTGGAATCGGGGAGGGGGCAGAATCTCATCTCAGGGTTTTGGAGGGCCTGTCAGCTGTCATGCAGCAAACTTCCTCGCTGATAAAAGCAGTGTTTTAAAGGGTTTTAAAGCAGCTATCAACTTCTAATGTAGGTAGACATAATTCCAGCTGCTGTTCTTATTTATATACATCTCTCCTTCCTGAAATGTACATTTTTTCCATACTTGGAATAGGTTAACTGGGAGGAATGTAGGACAAGTCTCTTACGGGGTAATTTGCTGAGTATTTTATGCCTCCCCACCTCACAATTATGATTATTACGCAAATGGGAATCTGTACATTTTTGACAAGAACAAGGAATTCTGCTTAAAGGGTTTGCATGTGGCCAAGGTGTGCGAGCTTTTTCAAATTACCAAAGACATGGTTATTTATTTTTTTTGGAAGGGTAATCATGGGCCCAACGCAGCAGTGGTTTGAACAGCGCTTAAGCCACAGAGCATCTCACAGGATGGTACCCAGGTGCCTTGAGAGAATTCTTTATGGAAGGGGCAGAGGAGGAATCCTCCTTTAAAACAATTGCAGTTGAATCTTTTTGGCCCCACAGGATGCATCCCTCTCATTTGAATGACTGCCAATACTCTAGTAGGAGAGCCTCTCAAGGACTACTTATTTCACGATATTTTGGGTCTTCTGGAGGTTAAACAGAACCTTGCTGTCAGACCCCAATGACGTTGAGGCTTATTTTTCTGTAGGTGGGAAGGGGTACGAGGTTGGAAATCTCAAGAGCAAGATGCACGTCACCACCATTTCTTTTCAAGAAGGATACCAAATGTGAATTTTCTTGTGGCCCAAATTCTGTCCTGGCTCTTGGTCTTTCAGGGCAGGAGGCCGACCTAGCTTGACACAACAACATTCAACCAAGTCAGACTTGGTAACAAGGCGGCTCCATCCCTTGGAAATGAGTGCCACCTACTGTCCAGGGGGAAAAAAACCACATTCAGTTGCATTTTAAAGTAGACAAATATATTTTATTTCTCCCTTTCCTAGAAATTTTATCATACTGGAAAAGCTGGATTTCTAAAATAAATCTTACACAAACCGTCAAAGGGCTGTGATAGTGGGATGGCATTGAATGGTCAGATGTTGACCGTTGGATTGGCAAGGTCCATTGTCTTTGGTGGAGGCCGGGTTATTTCTGTCTTGTCTGCTTTCAGAGAGGGGGCGAGGGGACAGAATTGCACGGCATCTGAAAAAGTTTGTGGCTGAATCGCCGCAGCAGATTGTGGCGGATTCTGGGCTTCCTCTGCTTCTGGGGGCCACTGGCCATGTTTCTTTGATAAGCAGCCCAGCCCTGGACTCCTGGTTTTCAAAGGTCCCCCTCTGCCCCACACACTTTGTATTCCCCCCCCCCCTTTTTTTCCCCTCTGTACCATCTATTCAGATTCCTCTTGGCTTGTGGTTAGCAAAATATGGTACCACTGTGCAACACTGCTGTTCACTAATTTTCACTGTTGTGAAAGTCGGAATAATAAACACCTTTTTACATTATCCTACCGTTGTGTGGAGTTCATTTCCTGGCAAATGGCTTGGAGAGGCGCTAGCACCCCAGAAGGGGAGCCCCATCTCAAGGCTTGGCTCCTCTCGGGAGGAGCGCCAGGGCTTCCTGCTAGGATTCTCTCTGGAGCCTTCCTTCCCACTAGGACAGAGGTCCCCAAATTTGGCAACTTTAACACTTGTGGACTTCAACTCCCAGAATTCCTTCCTTTCCCTTCCCGGGAGTTGAAGTCCACAAGTCTTAAAGTTGCCAAATTTGGAGACCTCTGCCCTAGACCATTTCAATAAGAACAGAAATGGAAGGGACCTTGGAGGTCGTCTAGTCTAACCCCCTGCTCAAGCAGGAGACTCTAGACCAGAGGTCCCCAAATTTGGCAACTTGAAGACTTCTTAAAGTTTCAACTCGCTGGCTGGAGAATTCTGGGAGTTGAAGTCCACAAGTGGCCAACCTTGGAGACCCCTGTCCTAGGACCACCAGCCCAACCTGACTAAATCCCGGGGGCTGGGCGGGGGCTGGAGCACAGAACCAGGTATGCTCCCCTCGAGTGGCACAGCTTCGTCCGGCTCTGTCGTCCCGTCCCCACCCCCACAGCCAAGCAGGGCCCTCCAAGACACCGTTGCCGGCTTCCGCATTGCTTTTCAGTCTTGGTTGGCAGAGGCGAAAGGAGCCAGGTCTGAATCGTGGCCGGCCACGGCCGTTTGAAGAGAGCCTCTCCGGCCCGAACTGCGGGATTCAAGAAGGCGCCAGCAAGAGCTGCAGCCTCGTTGCGACCCTCTGGCGAGCTCCGGCCAGCCCTTCCCACGAGGCGGGTGTAATCCGCCAACGCTAAGCCTGGCCCGGCGTTTTATGACTTTTGCGGAAGAATCTCCGGGACTGAAGTGAGCCCCGGGGGCTGGACCTCCACACCCGCCGTCCGGGGAAACCCAGGCGGGGCCGACCAAGCCCTGCAGCCAGGACGGGAATCCAGGTCCAGCGTCGTGGGAACGCAAACCGGGCGCCGACACGCCTCTTTCCGAGATCCGCTCGCATCCGCTGCCACGTGCGGCGAAGGGGGAGGCGGGTGGAGCGGCAGGCGCCGATTGGCTGCCGGGCTGAACGAGGGGCGGGGATAGAGCGGAGCAGAGAGTGAAGTTGAAAAGGAGGAGGCGGGGCGGCCGGGTCTCGTTCCGAGGCCCCATTGGTGCGAAAGCGGTAGGGCGGGGAAATGGGCGGGGCCGGCGTGGGACCGGTCATTGGCCGTGCCAGCGCGGGGAAGGGCGGGGGCGGGCGCGGCCGGAGCTCCAGGTGCGACGACGTCGCTCGCGGGGTCCGCTGTGCTGGCGAGCGGGGCGTGGGAGGGGGCGGTGTGTGTCTGTGTGTCTGTGTGAGGCTCCCGCCGTCGGCCGGGCGGTGACGTCACTCACGCGCGCACCGGGTGGCCGAGACGACGCTCGGAGGCCATGGACGGCGGGGTGGCCGCGCCGGCGGGTAAGAAGGAGGCGGCGGCGGCGGCATATGGAGGGGTGGGGAGCTGGCAGGCCCGGCGCCAGGTGTCCGGCGTGGCCGAGTCCGGCTCCGCGTCCTCGTGGGTGGGGATCCCGGGCTCTGGTGCGGCGATGGGCTGAGGGCCCCCCGGCTCTCTGAGGGGTCCTCCCGCCGCTGGGACGCTCCTCGCTCGGTTGGGGCTCTCGGCTGCGAGAGGGGAGGGGGCGGCCCTGGCTCGGGACGGGGGGAGAGGCGTGGAGGTTTCCCCCCCCCGGACAGAGGGCGGGTTCTTTCCGGTGTCCTGCCGGAGGGGGGGGGCATCTCGGGGGTCTTCGGGGGCTGCAGGGAGACCAAGCCGGGGAGTCTGAGCAGCGGGGAAGGAGGAGAGAGTTGGTGCCCTGCCGGAATGCCCTCTGCCCGGAGCCCCGCGGGGTTTGGAGGCCAGGCTGAGGGCGTCCCCTCCCAGCAGAGGCTGCCCTCCTGGCTGCGCTTCTCAACCTCGGCTGGGGGATTCTGGGGGTGGAGATAGGGCCATGACTGAGAGGCACTTCCTGGGGAAAACGCACCAAGCGGAATGGTCGGGTTCCTAAACCATGGGGGTCCCCAGCCCTTTGGACCTCAGGGACCCCCAAACTCATAATTTTAAATCCTGCAGACCAGAGACCCTGGAAAAATCCCCCCAAAACTCTGCAGGAAAATCCCCCACCCTGTGGGATACTGCTCAGTTCTGGGCGGGGGAGGGGGAGAGACTTTGGGCTTCATGCAAGGAAAGCAGCAGAAGCAGCAGAAGTTTTTCTTTCTCTCCCCCAAACTCTGCCAGAAAGGACTCTCTGTGAGCCTCTTGGAGCAGGAGGCCTGGCAGGGTCCCAAAGACTCATTTCTGGCTTTGGGGGTGACATTTCTCTGCGGACCATCAAAATTTTCCCATGGACCACCAGTGGTCCCCAGCCCACTGGTTGGCGACCACTGGACTAGATCAGGGGTCTCCAGCCTTGGCCCCTTTAAGACTGGTGGACTTCAACTCCCAGAATTCTCCAGCCAGCTTTCTGGGAGTTGAAGTCCACAACTCTTAAAGTGGCCAAGGCTGGAGACCTCTGTTCTATACGGGTGGGGCACTCTGAACCCAGGTGATCATTTTTACAGCAGTGCAGTGTGGACTTTGGCCTCGGATTTCTTTAGAGAATTTAGAGGCTGGAAGTCAAATTATTCTAGACATTTTGTAGTGTCTTGGTATTTTGTTCTTTTTGAGGGTTCATATGACCCTCAAAGGGGGAGCATTAACAGACTTGGGTAGCTCAATGGAACAAGTGCAGAAGAGTGAGGAACAAGGACTGCATGTTCTACTCGGAGTAAGCCCTCATCTGGATATGATTGGGAAGGGGATGCCTGGGCTTAGAGCCCCTTTGATTGCCCACTGTGGGTGATTAAATGACTGCTTCCTGCTGAGGAAGCAGAGGCTGCTGGAACGACTGCAGGGGGAATATAAAGTAGCCGTTTCCAAGAAATGAGCTCACTGAGTGAGTGAATAGAAAAGCTTAAAAGTGCTTGGGCAGGACAGGTTCAGAAGGATGTGTTTAGCTAACTTGCAGAGCTGAGAAGGAAGCAAGAAGAAATAAATATCGGTCTCCTGGTATACCTTAAGAAACCGAAATAACAGGGAACGTGACACGGCAGCCATGATCTCTAATGCTTATGGCATGTTTCTTTTCCTTTCTGAATACAGTGTGGTATGTATCTTGCAGCAAATGCAACTTTATAGTACTTCAGGAACAAAAATAGTACCTGGATTGGAACAAAGAACAAAGAGTCTGTATGGTTATAGAGTAAATGGTAGCAGAAGGAGGAAACAACTCTTAGTAACTTCCACCAAGGAACGAAGAGATTTCTGTACTGGTGGGACCTAGGAAGAATTCATATGGAAAGGTTCATAAATGAAAGACCAGCTTTGGGTCTGTAGGGAAAGAAAAATCCTGAATAGCAGTTGCTGTCTACAGAGCACAGGGCATCTTACTGATCTGTGCCCAGAGAGTGTTGTGATATTAACAATTGGCTACTCCAAAGTGCACAAATCAATTCATGAGCCAATCATCAGGAATTCATCCATGATCACGGATTAGGGGTGTTAGACAGATAATGTCCAAGATGTAGCTAGTCCATCAACAATTCTCCAGGTCTGCTAATCCATCATAACCTGGGGTGTTACCAGAGCGGTTACAGTGATATTCCAGTGGCACCGCATGAGAGATTCTGCAGTTCCAGGCTGTTCACCACCGGATACCTTTCTTTTCCATCCTTTGAAGATTTTTATCTTTGCTAAATTTGTTTGTACAGCCCGCTGATCTGCTTCTCTCTCCCATTTTCTGCTTACAAGAATTTTTTGCAATTGTGCTTTTAATATTTCCTGTTTTGGGAATGGCTGCTCATTCTGAGTTCCTTTTCCTGCCATGAAACCCTTCTTATTATTGCCAGCTGGGAGTTGAAGTCCACAAGTCTTAAAGTTGCCAAGCTTGGAGACCTCTGATCTAGAAGGCCAAACTCTTTGGGCAGGACATCGGCTAGCGGGTTTAACTTAGGGAAGGCAGATTTTTGACTGAATGTTGGGAGGGCTTTGAGAGATCAGCAGCTGAGGCCATCCTCTGAGGGAGAGGGTGCATTTCTCTTTTCTGACTGTTTTCAACTCTATGACAAGCATCTCTTGCAGATGCATCCATTTGAATTACTTCTCTTTCAAGCGTCAGATTTTTTTTCCAGGCAAGCCAGAAGGAATATATGACTACCTCATTCTGAAAAGTACATTTGCTTCTATGGAGGTATGTCAAAACGTAAGCCCAAAATACCTTCAGATATTCATACACATTTAAAATATTTGTGTTGTATCACATAGCATTAGACTTATTCTTGAGGAATAGAGAACAGAAAGTAGAGAGTAAGTATAGTAAGGAAAAAACCAATAATTAGATAT